TTTGGTCTTTTAAGACCTACTGTTACTGTTATGCTAATGGATGTACCACATATGACTGTTTACTGTACTGAACGACTGAAATACTGATTGAATTGAACTGTTTTTCATTACTGTAAGGACATTCATTCTAAACCCCTTTACGCTTTATGTTATTCACTGGGTTTTAGCTCACTGCTCATATATATATGTAGGTGTACAGGCACCAGATCGGAGCTAGGAGCGTCAGGGTAACTCCAGTTTTGTCAAGCCAGCCTTTGTGCCTCACTGCGAGGTTCCGAGTTGCCATGCTATGGCTTTGGGGTGTTTTGTTTGTTTTCCCCCGTCTGTCTCCATACTGTTTGGATTACTGTATAGACTGACAGTTGCTTACTGTACTGTTATCAAGGGATTAGGTCCCTGTACTGTGTAACTGTAAATTTTGTACAGACTGTACTGTTTGTATATGTATGAATGCATGAAAAATCTTTTTGGCATACAGACTGTCACAGCTCATTGGACATTGTTTAATTACTGTATTGGCTTCCGCCAGGCCCTGTACTCTGTTTTACTGTATTACTGTTAAGCAGGCCTTCGGTAATCTCGGATTACTGGCCGGTTACGGTGCTAAACCCATAGGGCCGGGTTTGGGTCGTGACAGTATTGCTGAAAGAAGGAACCGAACACTTATGGACATAGTAAGGAGCATGCTTAGTTATTCTAATGTGTCCATAAATTTATGGAGTGAAGCTTTGAAAACCGCTGTATATATCTTAAACAGGGTTCCATCCAAGGTTGTTCCCAAAACATCGTTTGAGTTATGGAAAGGATGGAAGCCAAGTTTAAGACACTTACACGTTTGGGGGTGTCTAGTTGAAGTGAGGGTGTATAACCCACATTTAAAGAAATTGGACCCCAGAACAATTAGTGGGTTTTTCATAGGCTATGCGGAAAACTCCAAGGATTACAGATTTTATTGTCCTTCAAATTCACTTAGAATTGTTGAAGCCAGAAATGCTAAGTTTATAGAGGAAGTTGACCCTAATGGGAGTTACCCTCGAAAGATAGAGTGGAAGGAATCACGGGATCCTGATACAACACCCATGAATATAGGTGAATTGGTTGTCTTTCAAGATAATCAACCCGATATTCTTGAAAATCAACAAATTCAAGAACTTTCACCACAAGAGGAACAAGTGAACATAGCGCCTATAGCTTAAGTCCCAATTGAGACTACAGAATTAAGGAGATCCTCACGAGCTAGAAAGTCAACAATTTTTGGTGATTATTTTGTATACTCAATGGAGTCTAATTTTGACATCGGACCTAAAGATGATCCTATTTCATTTTCCAATGCCATGAATAGGGATGATTCTAAATTATGGCATGATGCCATGAAATAAGAGTTGGAATATATGGCTAAGAATCAAGTTTGGGAAATTGTCGAGTTGCCTAAAGGAGTTAAAGCGGTTGGCTGTAAATGGGTCTATAAGACCAAGAAAGACTCAAATGGCAATGTCGAACGATATAAAGCCAGACTCGTAGCTAAAGGTTTCACTCAAAGAGAAGGCATCGATTATCATAATACATTTTCTCCGGTTTCTAAGAAGGATTCATTTCGAATTATCATGGCATTAGTAGCTCATTTTGATTTAGAGCTACATCAAATAGATGTGAAAACGACATTTTTAAATGGGGATCTTGAGGAAGAAGTATACATGAACCAACCTGAAGGTTTTTGTTCTGATAAAGATAGTCGCATAGTTTGCAAGCTCAAGAAATCCATATATGGACTAAAACAAGCTTCCCGACAGTGGTATTTAAAGTTCCACAATGTTATTACTTCATATAGTTTTACAGAGAATGTTGTGGACAACTGTATATACCTTAAGGTTAGTGGGAGCAAATACATTTTTCTGGTTCTATATGTGGATGACATTTTACTTGCATTTAATGATTTGGGATTGTTGCATGATACTAAACAATTTCTTTCTCACAATTTTAAAATAAAGGATATGGGTGAAGCTTCTTATGTCATTGACATAGAGATTCACAGAGATAGGACTATCTCATAAAGCCTACATTGAAAGAGTTTTGGAGAAATTCAAGATGAGTGATTGCATTCCTAATGCAGCACCCCTTTTAAAGGGTGACAAATTCAGTTTAAGTCAATGTCCGAAGAATGATTTGGAAAAAGAACAAATCGTTAGCATTCTCTATGCGTCTGTCGTAGGCAGTTTAATGCATGCTTTGGTTTGTACACGACTTGACATTGCAGTTGCAGTTGGGATGCTTGGAAGATACCAAA